GGGCTGGGAGAGGTCAATGAGGGGGAAAAGGAGACATATGTAATACTTTCAACAATAAAGATTAAAAAGAAAGAGAGAAAAGAAATGTACACTTGAAACCTATTGATTTTATTAACCAATGTCACTCCAACCTATAATAATAAAAGCTTAATGTGCTAATTAGACCGGACATCCTTCCGGACGAAGCCGGGGCTGTGAGGGAAGCCCGGTCCCCGGTGCCAGAGGGAAGCCCGTGCGGCAGCGGGGGAAGGAAGGCCTACTCTCGCACGAATTTCGTGCATGGGGCCTCTAGTAAATTTAATAAAAAAACAAAGGCAAACCATCCGACTCAAAAATAAACTAAAATAAAAGCACAATGTAGCAACCTGTTCTAAGAAAAAAAATAAATTATAAAATGTGCCAAAATTAAAAAAAAAAAAAAAGGACTCCTGCCTTCCCTTGTCCGCAAACCAGAGTGGCCACGGGTCCCATGGAGGGAGCAAGGCCGGTCTGGCCAGGTGGACGTCCCTGGAAACCCACCCCAACTCGGGCCCAGCGCCTCGGGGGTACTGGGCCCCTTGGAGCGCCACCAGGTGGCGGGCCCGGGAATGTATGCGTGGCCGCCCCCGAATCCCACGCTAGGGCTCCCGCGGGTCCTGAAAGCAGCTTGACTCTGCGCTTCAGCGCTGCCCCCAGCCGCAAAGGCAGGGCACAGACTGTTTCAAAGTCACAGGATGTGCCGGCTCACCCCCACGGCTACGCAGCCCCCGCCTTCTGGAGCTCTTCCTCGTGTCCAGCCGGCGGTGCCTCCCTCCAGCTCCAGGCAGGGCTTCTGGCCACGCCGGCGGGATGGTTTGGTCCACGTGCTCCCCTGGCCAGTGCCCTCCTGGAGCTTCCCGCGCCCTCTGTGAGGGGTCCCGGCCCCCCTTCCTGGTGACTGCTCTGAGCACCTCCCCGCGCCCTCAGCCCCTGCACCCCCGCTTCCCCTTCTCTCCCCGTGGCAGCCACGGGCCCTCAAGCTCAGGGTAACTCGCCACCCAGACAGCAGCTCCCGGTGCTCCCTGAACCACCCTCTAGCTCAGAACCCTGAGCGCACCGGGCCCCGGCCCCCCGGCTGCCGGCGCTGAGAGCAGCTCTTGGGAGCTGGCGGGCTCCGAGGGCCGAGGGCCCTGCACCAGGCAATTTGGACCTGCTCCTGCCTTGGCCTCGGCCCTGTGGTCCCCCTGCCGGGAACACCCCTGTTAGCCCAAACCCAGCCCAGGACACTCCTCAGGGGGACCTTTAGGAGTCAAGTCCCTGCCGCCGGTCTCCTCCGCGAGGCCAGCC